GACCAGATCAGGGAACTTTCCCCACTCCTGCAGTCTTCAGCATGCTTCTTAGCAAGAGGCTGTCTGCCAAGGGATGTTGCCATGCGCCACTGCTGCCATCACTGTGCCTTCTTGCTCTGGCTCTCCGCCTGCATATCTGGAACAGTAGTGGATGTTCACTTCAAGATGGCACTTGGTGATGGTGCTGACTGCCAGCTGGGCCAGTGTTTAGCTTCAAACGTGACCCTTTTTACAGACCATCTGTTTTTCAAAAATTGAAATTATTGCAGATAGAATCGAGTGCATTGACACATTTTAATAGGAAGGGTTTCGGAGTGCCACAGTGCAGGTCTAACAGTTATATCTGGCCTTGCGCCTTGTTCTTTGCCAGCACGGCAGTCCTGACTGTGCTGCCAGAGCAATTAATGAGCTCAGCACTTTGCTGGAGCTGTTGCATGGATTTCACTTTCACCTAAGGATTTGCTGACTTGGCTTTTTAGCTATAAAGTAACTTGACAGCGCACATTTTCAAAACGAAAGACTGAAACCTAGAATCTAAACAGGAGCATGCTTGAAAATTCAAGTGCGCTACTTCCAGATTAAAATGCATGCTGTGACTGAAATCTGTGTAGCCACTGAAATTACTATTCATGGAATCACAAGCCATAGGGATGGGAAGGGACCTCTGGAGATCACCTGGTCCAGATCCCTGCTGAAGCAGGTTCCCCTAAGAACTTTGGACTTCCACTTTCAAAATATGACATTACTTCAGCTTTTAAAATTGGACTATAAAAATTTGAGGTTTTAATTTATAACCTAATTATTTTATATAACTGTTATTTACTCGTCTGTCCTGGCCTCTTCTTGTATCTGAGTTACTTAGTTTTCATTCTTTGTTCACATGGGTCAGACAGACAGAAATGGTGCTGAGAGCCATTGGATATGAAGCATGCTCAACCTTTCAATCAAGATAATCTGCAGACCACCAAATGCTGTCTTTATTTAAGTGCACTGTGTTGTACATTGTGAAAGTCACAATGGAGTTGGGGAAACAACATCTGCCCTAATGTGTGTGAATCACATAATAATAGAATCATTACGGTTGGAATAGACTCCTAAGATCTTGTTTGTATTCCTGTTTCCAGAACTATGAGAAAGATGTGTGCTTTGGAAAAGTCATAGAATGATAGAATCATTAAGGCTGGAAAGACCACAAAGTTCACAAAGTCCAACCAGCAGCCCATTTATCCCCAGCGTGCCCACTAAACATATCCCTCAGTGCCACATCCACACAGTTCTTGAACACCTCCAGGGCCAGTGACTCCACCACCTGCCTGGGCATCCTGTGCCACTGCCTCACCACTCTTTCTGAGTTGAATTCTTTCCTAATATCCAACCTGGATTTCCCCTGATGCAACATGAGGACATTACTTTTTGTCCTATTACTGTTACATGGATGAAGAGGCCACTCATCCCTAATGTGACTTAACATGTCTTCTTAGAGGATCTGTTCCATGATCTTCCCAGGCAAGGAGGTGAGGCTCACTGTCCTGTAGTTCCACAAGTCTTCCTTCCTCCCTTTCTTGTAAATGGGAGTGACATTTCCATTTTTCCAGTCCCCAGGGACCACACCAGAGAGCCACAACCAGAGAGCATGATGTAGAGTGGCTCAGCAAAAATATCAGCCTGCTCACTAAGAGCCCTGGGGTGAATGTCATCTGGCCCCATAGGCTTGTATATGTTCACTCTTACGAGGCAGTCTCAGACTTGCTCTGCCCTTACAGCAGGAGGGGGATTTACTCCCCCAGTTCCCACCTAGAAGTTCAGGGATGCGAGCTTCAGGAATGTGAGAAATACAAGAATCCTGTCTGCCAGTTAAGACCAGGGCAAAAAATTCATTTCATACCTCAACCTTCTCCATATCTGTTGTAGCCAGTTCTCTTTTCTTATTTACCAAAGGAGGTACACTCTCTTTGTATGCCTCTTCTGACCATTTTACTTACAGAATCCCTTCTTGTGGCTCTTAACACCCCTCTCCAAGTTCAGTTCCTTGGTTTTCCTAATCCCCTCTCTGCAAGACCAGACACCATCCCTGTATTCTACGCAGGTGACGTGCCTGATGCCATAGGCCTTCTTGGCCATCTGAGCATTATGCTGGCCCATGTTCTGCTGGCTGTAGCGTTGTATGAGTCTGTTGTGACTGAAGTGCAGGACACTTGGTCTTGTTAAAGCTTATAGGTTCATGCCATTGAACCCACTGATCCAGCCTTTCCAGACTCCTCTGAGGGCCCTTTCCACACTTGTGCAGACTGACAGTTCCTCCCAACTTGTCATCATCTACAAACATACTGAGGGTGCATTGCATGCTTGCCACATGGACACATTCCTGCCTTTCTCCTTGGCCTTTCCATAGATGCATGGCATTTGTCATTCAGCTGTGCCGCCTGGGTTCTACTGGCCTCATGAATGTAACCATGCTGACCATGCTTGGGGAGCAGCCATGCCTCTTTCCTGCCTGGCACTGGGGTATGCAGATGCTGGAAAACTGGTGTGCAGCTGCTGCTCTGTGGACATTGAGATGCAGAGCAGGTGCTCAGCATTTTTCTGCCATGTTACCTCTTAAACAAATGCATGTCACAAACCCTTCTGACAGCTGCTTGTAAAAGCAGAACCCCTGCTGCCAGGCATGTTGAGTTCCTCTCATTTTCCTGTCAGTTTCTCATTACAGGGATTCATGGAAATTGAACAAGAAGAAGTCACAATCAGTCATGTCTAGAATGTCTAGAATATACCCTGAGACTGTTATGCATGCACCCTTGGTGTATTTTTTAAACACATGGAACAAGACTCCAAGGAAAGTGTTTGCAAGTTTTCCCCCCTGGCTTTATGGTGTGTTCAAATTCTATAAAAACCGCTCGTATTTGGGCCTAACTCTCCTCCCTACACACACCCTGGGGGTGAGCTGGGTGTGTTGCTCCTGCCCTCTGCCTGCCCTGCTGCAGTCGTCAGGTGCACTCATTAATGTCAAATCTCTGGCACTGCTTGGAAAGGAAGGAATGCTACTGCACAGTCCTCTTGAAAGAGTGCCTTGCCTTTCATCTGAAGTTGCTTGTGGATGTACAGAGTAGTTATGAAGCTCTTCATACTTAAGATTTTGTGCTCTTCAACATCTTTATCAACAACCTGGATAGTGGGATCAAGTGTCCCCTCAGCAAGTTTGCTGAAGGTGGAGTTGACACAATAGCAGGAAGGGCTAACATACAAAGGGACGTGGACAGGCTCAAAAAATGAGCTCACAGGAACCCAGTGAGGTTCAACAAGGGCTAGAGCAAAGTGCTGCACCTGGATCAGGGCAATTTTAGATATGCATACAGACTGGGAGAAGAACTATTTGAGAACAGACCTATGGGGAAAGAGTTGGAGGTCCTGGTGGATGAAAAGCTGGACATGAGCCAGTAGTGTGTGCTTGCAGCCCAGAAGGCCAACAGTATCATGGGCTGCACAGAAGAGGGGTAGCAGCAGGGAGAGGGAGGGCATTGTCCCCATCTACTCTGCCCTTGTGAAGCCCCATCTGCAGTACTGCATCCAGGCCTGCGGCCCCCAGAACAAGAAACGTGGAGCTGCTGGAGTGTGTCCAGAGGAGGGCCATGAAGAATAGCAAAAGGCTAGAGCACCACTCCTTTGAAACAAGGCTGCGGGAGCTAAGCTTGTTCTTCCTGGAGAAAACTCCAGGGAGACCTCATTACAAACTTCCAGTACTTGAAAGATGCTTACAAGTAGGACAGGGAACAACTTTTGTATGGTCTGATAGAGATAGGATGAGGTGGAATGGTTTTAAACTAAAAGAGGGGAACTTTAGATGAGATATTAGCAGTAAATCCTTTACTCAGAGTGGTGAGGCCCTGCCACAGCTGCCCAGAGAAGCTGTGGTGCCCCTGCAGGCGCACAAGGCCAGGTAGGCTGGGGCCCTGGGCAGCTGAGCTGGTGGAGGGCAGCCCTGTCAAGGGCTTGGGGTTGGGGTTGGGTAGTCTTTAAGGGCCCTTCCATTCCAAACCATTCTATGATCCTGTTTGATCCTGTTATTTTAAAGTAAGTGACTTGAAAGCCTGCCAAAAATTTGTTTAAAGGTATATTTTTTTGTTCCTCTGAATTCTTGAGTTATGCTGAAAAAATGAGCGTGGTCTGCGGCCACCTGCTCCTGGATGCACTCACTTCTGTGGCTGCTGTTTTACCTCATATTCAGCTGAAGAGATACATGCTGTATTTATTTTCCTGCAGTGGGCAAAGTGGGAAAAGGTGAAGTGGGGGTTGAAAACAGCAGGTTGGGACACCTGGCTGAGCATCATGGCTGCAGTGGCCACGGTTCCTGCTGCACTGAGAGCAGAGGATGAGAGCACTACCAGCCAGAGTACAGTGCAAGGCCGAGGACTGGTGTATGGCCCTTTGCTGGGTGGGGCTTTTGGGTGGCACCACAGGATAAATGTTTGCTATCTTTGGTCGTACTGAGCATATCTGTAGAGAGAAAAAGGAAAACAAGGATGCTGCAGCAGTCACAGAGAGTAACCTGCATCTTACAGTGGCAAAGGTTGCATGGCTCAGTAGTCATCCTGTTTAAACATTGATTTGAATGATGAGGTTTTTAAATTACAAGGCCTCAGTGTGCTGTTCCAGGCTGAACTTCCTTCACCTCTACTATTCTGAAATCCTGTTTATAGCAACAGGGGCGTGCAGGGCTGATAGCTGTTCAATCAACCTTCACTTTAGGCATTGACTTTCAGGCACTCTGTTTTGCAAGATTAATATCCTCTTAATAAAAGTAACCCTGCATGCATTCACCTCTGCTTGCATGCAGATATCTGAGGGCAAGTTAAAAATGGCTTTGCTAGTGTTACTGGCAGCTTTATATATACATACATATATCTTAAAATAAGACAAAAAGTAGTAATAAGAGTTACTGCTCTGGAGTTGCAGAAGACACACTCTGCTGGCTGACACTTGCTTTGTCTGTGCTTTGCCTGCAGTGGCTGAGGAACCCAGGTCCCCAGCATGAGAAGCGGACTCTCTTCGGAGACATGGTGTGTTTCCTGTTCATCACTCCACTGGCAACTGTCTCTGGCTGGCTGTGCCTGCGGGGAGCTGTGGACCACCTGCACTTCAGCAGTAGGCTTGAAGCTGTCGGCCTCATTGCACTCACTGTTGCACTCTTCACCATTTACCTCTTTTGGACCTTAGTGAGTATGGGTATGGGGGAAAGACTAGAGCAGGAAATTAATTACACCTCTACCACTCTAGAGTGCTGTAGAATGGGTGAAGCATTGCATAAAGCATTGTTTACATTCAGAAATCTCTTCATTCCATGTCTATTAAGTTCTTTGGAAATTCTGAAAGATGCAGTGCATTTGAGGTCTGCACTTCTCAAATCCCAAACTCTGGGCAGGATAGTGAGAGGGAGAGAGGAAGCAATGAGGAGGAATTCAAAGCAGGTGCTGCAGCATGGTGATACCATCACAGAAGGCTACAAGGTTGGTTGAGCACAATTCCTGATGACCTTTTTCTCTTTCAATTGCTTGAGATGGCATCCAGAACAAGCTGTTCCATCATCTTTCCAGGGACAGAAGACTGAATGGCCTGTAGTTTCCCAAGATCCTCTTTCTTGCCCTTTTTGAAGACCAGAGGGACGCTGGCTATCCTCCAGTCTCTGGCACCTCTCCTACTCTCCAAGACCTGCCAAAGATAATAGAGAGCAGTTGAGCAATCACTTCTGCCAGCTTCCTCAGCACACATGGATGCATCTCATCAGGGCCCATGGATTTGTGCACATTGATCCCACCTAGACACCATCTCCTCCTCAACCAGAGGAGAGCTCTCAATTTCCTGGACTCTCTCTTTCCTCCAGAGTCCAGGAGTTCTGAGGGGGTGTCTTTGAAGCAAAGACAGCATTCAGCGTTTCCACCTTCTCAGCATCTCCCATTACCAGACATCTCCCTCATTCAGCAGGGGATCAACATTATCCCTAGTCTTCCTTTTACTGTTAACATACTTTAAAAAAAAAAACCTTGTTATCCTTTATCTCATTTGCCAGCTCCAGGTGAGCTTTAGCTTTCCATGTTGCTTTATTACAGGCCCTGACAACACTCCTTTACTCCTCCCAAGAGGCCAGGCCCTTTCTCCACATTCCATAAACCTTCTTCTTCCCTTTGATCTTATCCATGAGCTCCTTGCTCATCCAGACAGGTCTGATTTCCTACTCTTAGGGTTGCACCAATCTTGAGCTTGGAAGAAGTGCTGTTTAAATGCTGCCCAGCTCCCGCAAGCCCCTTTACCTTCAAGAGATGAGATGCCCCAGAGATACCTCCAAGTAGGTTCAGGAAAAGGTCAAAGTTGGCTCTCTGAAAGTCCAGAGTAGCAATCCTACTTTTTGCCTTCTTCCACACAAGATCTTGAACTCCACCATCTTGTAATGGCTACATCCCAAGCTGCCCTCAACCTTCACATTCCTAACAAGCCCACCCCTGTTGAAAAGAACAAAATCCAGAAGAACCCCCTGCCTTGTTGGCTCCTCCACCACCTGTGTCAGAAAATTATCTTTAACGCATTGCAGGAACTGGACTGCACATGCCTGGCCATGTTGCTTACCTAACAAATATATAGATGATTAAATATATAGATGGTTCACCATGAGAACCAGCACATGGGATTGTGAGGCTACTTCCAGCTACAACGTAGCCTTCATCCTTCTGATCTGGTGACCTGTAGTACACCCCCACAATGATGCCAGCCATCCCAGCCCACCCGTTAATTCTCACCCACAAGCTCTCCACACATTCTTCCTCCCTCCCGGATGGAGCTCATTACATTCTAGTTGATCCCTCATATAAAGAGCAACTTCACCTTCACTTCCCAATCCTGTCTTTCCAAAAAAGGTTGTCACCTCCACAACAGCATTCCAGTCACGCGAGCTGTCCCACCACATCCCTGTGACTGCAGTGAGATCACAGCCCTGCAACTGCACACAGATCTCCAGCTCATCCTGTTTACTTCCCACGATGCGTGCATTGGTATACAGGCAGTTAAGGGAAGCAGCAGGTGCGGGTACCCCTGGAGGGACACAAGAAGATTTTGGATGTCGTACTGGCAATATGACCTTCTCTGAGGAGTCCTTGCACGATCCTATGGGACAGCTCGAGGTTCTTCCTGGCAATCTTCAACAGTGACAACATCCTTCAGCTCCATCTGTCTCCCTCAGAGATTCCCGGGAGCCCCTCATCTGCTCAAGCATCTCCTTGAACAGGGCACACCTGCAGCCATGACAGCCCTCTCCTGCCTCAGGACCTAGGGAGACCTCCGGATTACGGAGCTCTCCACAGTCAGTATTTTGGAGTGCCGCCTCATCCCACGGGTTGTCCACCTGGCTGCACGCATGAGCCCACAGAGGCTGCGTCCCCTCGGTCTGTGTTGCTGCCTCCGCCCGGCTGCTGCGGCGGCTCCTCACCGCGATGACGAAAGAGGCGGTAACGCCCCAGAGTTCCTAGAGGAGGAGTGAAGAAAGTGAGGAGGCTCCTTCCGGCCGTCCCACCCTGCCCCGCGCGGCTTGCCGGCGCTAACTGGCGAGACCCTGGAGCTGGCCTCGATCGCGCGTCCTGTCCGCGGCCCTCCAGGGTCACGGCGCTCCCTGAGGGCAGTTTTTATACAGGCGGGGGTTGGCTGCCCTCACTCCCGGCTCCGTCCAAACAGCGTCGGCGCCCGCGGCGGCACAAGCGCGGCTCCTGCCCGCCGCGCTGACCAGATGGCTGTGCGCGGCGGGTCGAGCGGCGATTTTGAGGATTGGTTCTGATTTACCTCTTTGCCAGGATCTCTCGTTGCAGTCGTTACACGCAAAGTCTTCCCTACAATGGATTTTAAATTTCCTCTTGTCCTGTCATGACAGACTCTGCTAAAGTGTCTGTGCCCTTCTTCCTTGTAGCCCCCTTTTTGATACTGAAAGGCCATCACTTCTCCCTGCGGCCTTCTCTTCTCCAGGCTGAACAGCCTCAGCTCTCTCCTCCTAGGAGAGGTGTTCCATCCCTTGGATCATTTTTGTGGCCCTCCTCTGGATGTGCTCCAACAGGTCCATGCTTCCTGTACTGAGGACTCTACACCTGGATGCAGTACTCCAGGTGAGGCCTCACCAGCACAAAGCAGAGGAGCAGGATCACTTCCCTTGCCTTTGCTGGCCGTGCTTCTTTTGCTGCAGCCCAGGATACAGTTGGCTTTCTGGACCGTGAGGGCCCATTGCTGGCTCGTGTTCAATTGCTATCTACCAAATCTTTTCGGCAGGGCTGTGCTCAGTCCTTACCCAGGTTCTACTGGTAGTGGGGATTGCCATGACCCAGGTGCAGACCGTACACTTGGCTTTGTTGAATTTCATGAGGTTTTCCTGGGCCACTGCTCAAGGCCATCTGAGTTTCTGGATTGCATGTCTCAAGCAAATAATAATTTCATTTAATTGCTTGTGACATGTGGACACATCTGACCTTGCTCATTAAGATTTCAGGAGCATCTCAGATGTAAGCTAGCAACATCTACTGCCACTGCTTTGACAGGGATGAAAAATCACCTCTAATTCACTTTATAATGTTTCTCCTTTCAGAATCCTACAGAGAAATGTGTGTGCCCTTTAGAAGTTACTTAGCGCTTGGAGAGTATACTAAGAGTGATCTTGATATAAAGGCACACCTCAGCTGGTTCAACTGAGGCACAACATCTTTAATGCCCACTGAGGTGTGCAAGATGTAATTGAATCAGAGCCATCGCACAGCCCAGCAGGAGATGGATGGGCAGTGAAGCGCTGCATCCATCGAGCAGCGCAGGCACCCCACCCTGCCTTTGTGGGGTGCATGGACCTCCTGCTCAGCACCCAGTCAGCTGAGTGGTGGAGAGGATGGATACTCAGGCGCTGTCCACAGAACTGAAGGTGCCCTCATTTCCCTCTCAGCATTAGTGCTGGAAGAGTTCTGAGGAGATTTATGTGTGCCTGTAAATTAACTCATCAAGCTCAAGTGGTGGTGTATTCATGCACCTCGTCAGAAGGCAGATTTATGAAAGCATGGTAGAGGTTTACAGCAACTGCCTTACAACTGGCAGAGGGCACACTCCACCTGTGTGCTCAGCAGCCTGAGGTGCAGTGCTCCTGCAGGAAAGCCTCACCCGTGTTTGGCCAGATGTGTGCCAGATGTGCAGACCTCCCTTCAGTTCTCAGTGCTGAGGAGATGGGAGAATCCAGTTCCGCTTGCTTAGTTATGGCTATGATGAGAGCTACTGGGTAAATTACACATGACCTGTGATATAACGCTTCTCTAGGTCCTGAGAAAATTAAGAAAAGTAATATTTAATTTTACTTCCCATAAATCAGCTTCTTCTCTTGTAGACAAAAGCTGGCACTTAGGTCATTTAAGCACCACAGTATCCCAGTGAACAGAAAATGGGGGAGGTTATTTTTAGCGCCCAAGAAGCTGTCTGATCCCTTCCACTGAAAGGGAGGCCACAGCCAAGTCCTCCATAAAATGCTATTACCTTTCCTCAGTTAATTACTGCAACTGATCTATGCCCCCCAACACACACCCCAAAGAAAGAAAAGTCCTGCTCTGCCCAAGATGAAAAAAACTGTTTTCTGCTTAAGGATTCATGGCCACACTGCCTCTCCATGCACTTGGCCAACCTTTCTGTGAGACTAAGGAGAGGACTGGGTGCAAGAGGATTGGCCATGTAGATTCCAGTGTAATGTAACTGCTGGTTAAACACCAAGGGTAGCCTAAATGAACCCAAGTTAGAAAGACAAATGCTTCCCCTGCCTATAGTGTTGAGGAGGTGAACAAAGAACCTCTGTGTGGCAATGCTCAGTGTAGGAACATGTATTGTTGGTGCAGTGTCTGAGTTCCACCCCAGAGTAGCAGCACTGGGCTAGGAGCACTGGTCTGGATGCTCTCAGTGAAATTGAGCAGCTGACATCACTGAGAAACCACCTCAAGGCAAGAGCCTGCTGAATCAGGATATTCTGTGAAATGCTGTAAGCAGACAAGCAATTAAAGCCTGGAGTAACAACCTTGCTCTTTCTCAAAGAACCACATATCATGCTATAGGAGAACTCAGCCTGAACTCCTACTCAGTTATCTGAGACAATCACAGCACTCTGCATAGCATTCATCTTTGTAGAGGGTTTTTTGTTGGCTTTTTTTTTTTTTAATTGCTTCCTCTCTCTCTACCGTATTATTTCTGCTGATACTACAGTGACTACAGTGACTTTTTAAGAGATTTCTCATATTCTTACATACGGGCTGTTCCTATATGAGGTGAAGACACAGACTGCTTTACCTTCAGGGGGAGCAGAGGAGATGGAGAAGTGGGGAAATAATTCATCTGTGGGAAGAGCTGTCCTTGGGTAACTGCTCAGCAAGCAAAAGCTCTGTTGGTTTCCCTCAGGATAAGAACCTAATAAAAAATATATACTTTTTCTTTTTTTTTGGTTCCTGTATGATTTTACAGAATGGAAAATTACTTATTTAGCTAAAAACACTCTTTTGCAACTAAAAGGGTTTTGAAGGATACATTCATAGGCATGTAGATGGCTAGTGCAGAAGCACTATGCTATGTAGCCATCCACACCACCAGCACTGCGTGTCAGGGAACCAGATGCAGTATCTGCATAGTACTCTCTGCCCTCTGAATGGCAGTGACCAACTGAAGTGGCACAAGCGCATAAAAATCAATGACAAATGACAAGTTGTGTGTGAAAATTGCATAGCACTTCTGTGCTTGCTGCTTGGGTCCCTTCCTGCCTGCAGCTTGGGAGCATCATCTCGTCAGTTGGCACACCTCATCTAACAAGCCCAAGGCCAACTAACTGGTGTTTGACATAGTTGTGTAAGTACAGCACTGCATACAGCCCTAACTCGTGCACTTGGCTGTTGCTAAAATAACCAGTAGACTACTTTAAACAATCTATACAGTGTATCTTCACAGCAGTCATTTCCCTTCCACTATTAGCAGGCTGCACTGAGTTTGAAATTGGTTACCTGAGACCAATAAAAAAAATTCAAAAGACAACCCTGTTTGAGACACTGATTCTGAGACAGGGCATGCTGGCAGTCAGTCACACTCACCTCGTGATACCTATGCAATCCTGAATTCAATACATTTAGCAACAAAGCATTACAAGGTGCAACATAAGGCTGTTAGTGTCTGCACGCAAGCCTTCTCCATCCAGCCAGCTACAGAAATCATCAGCTGAACAACCTCAAACCCAAATTCATCTAGTTATAAATGGCTACTACCTCTTGGAATAGACAGGCAGGATGTCTAGTTTTTCATTTCATTAGAAGGGAATGAGAACTGTGTAGCAGCAGAAAGCAGGGCACGAACTGGTCTTCTCTGCTGTGGAAGCTTGGGAAACAAGCCCCCTATCCATATGGTTTCATATATGTCAATTTCATCCTACCTAGTGAGGCTGCTTAAAGGCTTTCTGTCCCACTTGAAGGTGTGTTCCCCAACCCCTCACCAATTCCTTAGAGGAATGAAGTGATTCTGAATGCACCTGTCTTCTTTCTCGGCAGGTATCATTTAGATATCACTGTAGATTATACAACGAATGGCGTCGGACCAACCAGCGGGTGATACTCCTTGCCCCCAAGTCTGCCAACATTCCCTCCAACCAGCAGTCCCTGCTGGGCCTGCCATCAGTCAAAAGGAACTCAAAGGAGACAATCGTTTGATTTGGGCCATTCTGCTCTGAGGCTGTGCACTAAGGACATTTGCCTCAAACTCACTATGCTCAAACACCATGCAGAACCCAGCAGTGTGCTATCCTGATGCATAAACTCTTCATGAAGTAGGAAATTGCTATCTGAATTCAAATGCTGGACGCTGCAGTCCTATTTGCTAAGCTACCAAATGCGTTTATTTAGCAGATACTGTGTGGAAGCTGGTGTTAATACTTGCATCATCAAGTGATGCAAACTTTTCTATCATTGTTTAAAATAAACTGAAAATTAACAATGCAAAACAGACGTAGAGTGCTTTGTTTTTATTGTTCTGTTCCTACAGTAGTATGGCTTAGGAAGGCAGACAGTAACCAGTAGTTTATTTTGTTTTTCCTGAATCACATCAACAGCACTCCATGATTGTTGGGTTTTTTTTTTTTTTTTTTTTTTTGTTTGTTTGTTTTTTGCCCCAATTAATTTTATTTAACAGATTCCAGCATTTTGGATTATTAAAATACTTCTGTGTGATGAATTCTACATGCTGGCATGTTACTTAAACATGATGTAGTGAGTGGAAGACTTACCCATTTCTTGTTTTACAGGGAAGTTGCCCATAGGAAAATTTTTCAGGAATATATTTAGAATACATAGAAGAACAAAGTGACACTTGCACTAACCTTCCTATTTTGAAGTATTCTATTAAATAATTCAACAAAACTCAGGGAACAAAAACTGTACTTTTTTCCCCTCAGAAGCATCAAATGAGGCATTGCATTCTGTACTACAATTGTGCCAGTTAGCCAACCTGCTGTTTACATCAAGCTGAATTTAATCCTAATTGTATAAATTAATTTTGCAAGGCAAACTCCACATACATAATGAATGAGATCATTAGAGATGTCTCAGGAAGCAGGAACTCATCTTGAATGACAATGAGCATGTCTTGAAAGCCTGCAGAGTCTTTAGTTCACCAGGTAAGATTCAGCAGAGTTGATGTAAACCCTGGCCTCTCATAGCAGTGACAGCAGCTTTTCTAAAATGTGTAAAACAACCTACAGTGGTAACTGAACTGTATTTGGAGTCTGAACACTAGACTGTATTGTTGAATGGCATTACCTATTTCCCTTTTGGTTTCACATCTAATTCACTCAGCAACTCTGTGCTCTTAGAGACCAAAAACAGACTTTTTTTTAAAACAAGAAATAATGAAAAATATTTCACTAACAAATTCTGCTAGAATTAGAAATTGATGCATAGTTTCTTGAATATACACACTGCTAAATGTAGATAATAATGCCACTACGTGCATTGTTTTCCAAACTGCAGTGATAATAAAAGGAACACATAGTAAGTAGTTCACTATCAGAAGAGCTTAGGGCTGTGCTTTAGGGAGAGATGAACTTAGTACACCAAGACAAATCCATTCACATAACTATAGCTAGACTTGTCCAAATAATTCCATAAAGAAACTGCTTATCAATACTTCTTGAAGCTGTCAATTTCATAGTATAAAAATAATCAGTTATTTGAACAATAAATCTCAATTTTATTCAGACATAAAACCGTAGTTTCACACCAAGAAACAAACATCTCTTCATGTGAGAAAGTTATGAACCTACAGAGCTGTATCCTTTAATTTGACTGTAAGGTCAGGATTTGATCATATATTTGGCAATGGATACCTGCTTGTCTTCCAGAACAAAACTGTAGGAGAAATATTCAAAATTCTGAAGAAGTGTATAGAAAAGTGTGACTGCTTAAAATGTATTATTACCATATCTCTACAGAACTATCTGGGTAGAAGATTGAAAAGGATATAAGGAGAATGTTCCAGGTTAAAAGAAAACCTGGAAGTGTGCCCATGAAAAAGTTCAGTCAGAGGGTTTTTTTTTGTTTTATAAAACAAAAAATTGGGCTGACTTGGAATTCCAGTAGTAACAAGGAAAACAGTAATTCAAATCAAGCTGCAAGTCATCTGCACACAGACCAACAGAAAAACTTGAAACAGATGGCCTTTGTTAGATCAAGTTTCATTTCTAGTTTCAAGAAAGTTATTTAAGCAGAAGGCATTCTGAAGCAACCAGAGAAAGCACGATACATTGCTACGTTAGTTTCTGTATGTCACAAGCAAGCAGGGTAGAAATGGTAGGCAAAGACACTACTGGTTGTCTGCCAGGGATTTTCTTGAGAAAAACAACAGAGAAGACCAAACACACATCTAGCCTTTTCCACTAAACCTATGGAAATACTATGCACTTCATATTCATCCTTGTACTTCCATAAAACACAAAGAAGGTGGGTGATGTTAACATCTTATTCACACTTCTGAAGTGCAGTGAAGACTTGTAGTCAAAAGGCTTTCCTGAAGCTTTTCTGCCATTGTTGCCACATCAAATCCAAATTCCCATTAATAATTTCAAAACTGGATTTCAGCAGATATTCTACAGCATAGCAATACATTTAATGATCAGATACAGCAAGCGTACCTACAGCTACCCGGAACTCCCAGCTGTACAATAGTCTGTTAAGCAAAAATACAGGTTAACTAATAATTCAGGAGGTTGTTTTTAATAGGATGTCACTCTTTTCTTCTTAGCAAGGTTCTTCTTTCCTCTCATGCAGCTGGCCTTGCTGCTTATACTCCTTTTCCATGAAAAAAGTGACAGAGGTAGTACATCCAAATCAGTATTTTGAGCCAAAAGGGATAAAACCCAGCAACTTAAGTTATCAAAAACAAACAAAACAATCAAGAACCCATCTCTAATGATTCACACAGCATCGATCCATTCCTTCCTTTCACACCCTGTCTTCCGATGATAGACCACCATCCCTGTATATACCACTAAGCTCAGAGTCTACAATTCAGTATGAGTACAGTGCAAAAAGTCAGGTTTTCCTTCTGTGCAACCTTTTCCCTGCAAGCCTGATTTATCACCAAAACAACAAAAAAGACAAAATTAAGGTGAGATTAAAGAAGTAGTGTGTGACAAAATTATGATGCTGAAAAGGGAAGAGATTCAACAACAGGCAGCTATGTAACCTCTCACTCACGCTGAGGGCAGTGACACAGTGAGAGCAGCAGTATACACTGTAGGCAGGAGGAGAGGAGAATATATGCACTGGGTAGCAGAAATTTATATATATGACTATACCACTCTTGTAATGAAGTTTTAGAAAAACCATAGCCTTTTGCATGGACACCACAGCATAAGTAGGATTAATGAGCCCTCAGGTTTTTTTTGTTGCTGTTTTGTTTTGTTTTTATCTTGGCTGTATGGTTCCGCCAGACTGAGATTTCAAACTGCCATTTATTTAAAACAGCTCTGCATTGTTTCCTCAGTAGGAACTCATGTAGGACAATTGGGCAACTTAGCACATAATGGGCATTAGGGCCAATATCCATAGACAGTCTTTGATGCAGAGAGATACCAAGGAGCTACCATCAGGAAAAAAAAATAGGAAAAGCTACAAGAGGGACCAGCTGTGCACTGAAAGAAAGCTCTACCCTACAGAACAAAGGTAAGATAAAAACTCCTATTAATTACACTTTCCATCTGTTGATGAGACCAAGCTCTCAAAACGCATCTGCTTCATTAAAAAAAGAATTTTCTATGCAAGCAGGAAAATATCTATTTACTGCCCAGTACTGTTTGGGAGCATCCAAAGTACCTCTGAAGCTGACCGACAATGCAAAGTACAACAAAGGCCTTCATAAACGTCTAGCAAGCCTGTAAAACAAAGTCTGAAATATGGATAAGCACTACATAACACAGCAATGATAACACTGTACTACATACCAACTCACTGCTGTTATTCATTATGTTTTTTGTTTATCCCATGAAGCAACAAGAAAGCTTTTTTTAAACCCATGTGAACAAGCTGCCAAGTTTCTTAGTATCTGCTTTTAGCTTTTACCCAGCTTTCACTGAGTCTTTTACACCTCACTGTGGCAACACTACAGAAATACCTTCCTCCCTTTGATGCTGAAAGATTATAGAACAACTTGTCCCTCAGCTGTATCCTGAGCATACAAAACAATTTCACAATAAAACTTAAGGATTATGCTGATATGCTATCAACAGCATTCCACTCTGCTGAAAAGCAAAAACACCATCTCCCGGAAAAAAAACAAAACAAAAGAAATGCTACAGTTGCCCAGAAAACCAATTCCGTAACTGCTTTCTATGACTTAAATTAAGTCAGACTTGCTCACCAATAATCTTTTCTGTTCATAAAACGGAACAGCCAAATTAGCTACAATACTTTGCACCCAAACGTTTTTTTTTGACAGCTAGATGAAAAGCAGCCAACCATACAATCAGTATAAAATGCAATATACCTTTTCCAGTGCCATCACACCTGTTTTCTGCCTTCAGATTTAAGCATGCTGAGAACAAGTTCTGTTATCTATACAAACTCATTAAAGAAAACTAGAGGGAGGCTGCTAAATGCACACTAAGCAAAAACAGAGATAAAGAGTAGCTACTTTTGCTGTGTTCCTGTATCTAGCTGAGAATTATAAATAATTAAGTGCCCCATTGCTTCCTCAATATTAACTGCTGTGCTCCAATTAAGACTAAATAAATATTCTCCTTCATCCTACATAGCCTCTGTTTCTTTCATAAAATGCTCCATCTTGGTCAAGAGCTCTAGAAGTTTTTATTCCCATCAACTACTTACCTTTCCTACCTTTACTAAACTTTCCTGCCTGGAAAAAAGTACTTCATAGTCAATTAGCATATTGTTTTTTCTTTAAAAGCAGGAGAAGGACATATAGTGCTTATAGCAGATATATAAAAGCACCACTTTCTAGACTTGGAATTTCCCATAAAAACACCTTTTTAACTCCAGAAACTCTCATATCAGTATAAAAATGTTGGTTAAGACAATTAAGTTTCCCTGCGAGATTCTAAGAACTGCATTAAAACTGCTTCTACAGAAGTCGACAAATAAATCCTTAGTTTCTACTGAATAGAATGTGTCATGAAATGCAGTCATGAACAGCTACTAATTTACATGTTTTGATGTCTACTTGGGAAAATATTTTAGTGGAATACACAACCTCTGGACTACCTAGGTTGGAAAAGACCTTCAAGATCATCATGTGCGAACCTCAATCTGGCCCAACAAGCTCCATCACTAACACCACATGTCTCAGCAATATGTCCATATGTTCCCTTATACACCTCCAGGAAGAGGATTCACCCACTGCCCTGGGCAGCCTGTTCCAAGACTTGACCACTCTCTCCATGAACAAATTTTCCTTCACATCCATTCTGAACCTCCTGGAGTACATTGATACCACTTCCCCACATTATATCACAGCAGGGGTAGATGTTGATGAAACATATAGCAATTTGTAGCATGCAGCTAAGACTGCTTACACCAGCATTTATTTATGAACTTGTCCACTACAAACCAACCATGATCTAAATGTTAGTTGCTTTTACTATGACCAGACCTAAACTCAATCTTCTGAGCCAGGAACAACTGATGGGAATACACTTTGCTTCAGGAACACTCATCATATTATAGCAGTGTTACAAAGTCAAAAGACTTGCTTATTAAGTTCTTATTCTGGTTTTCACAGGAAGAACGTGTTAGCAGATGTATTTCTAGCACTGTTGTGCTGGTTTTGCTTGTTTGTTTTTTTCCCTGTTGCATGTAGCAAGTCACTAAGCAGCTTTCACCTGTCAGGTACAAAACAGATCAGTATCACATCTTGATCATCTATGTTGTCAATTCTGGAAGTGTACCTAGAAGCAATCTTTAGATGTTACTCTAGAAGTAGTAGGAGCCGGTCTACAGAGCTAACTAGGACACTGTTTCATTCTTCTCCAGCTCATTAGCTAACAACCTACAGAAAATGAAAACACATTTTGCAAAGCATAACATTAAAAACCAACAAGCTTATTTTCCAGTGGTCTGATACCTTTAAGGAATTCCATCCACCTGCCTTCTTTCACACAAAATGGCAAATAACAGCAGTAACTACAACAGTTAAGAGGTAGGAAAAAATACTGACAAAATCATATATTTCAAGCTTGAGGTCAGTGCTTTCCAAGAGACTAATTAAAGGTTGAAATTGTGGTGAAGAGATAGGAGGACTTTGTTCAGTCTAGTAAAGAGAAACTTTTTGAAGTTATTATGGGACTCACATGAAATGTAGGAAAGGTATTCATGGTTGTTGTTTTGCTTTGAGAATATAGTTCAATAGCAAGATCTCCATCTAGTGGCAGGATGTTTCCACACTAAATGTCAGCAACATACAGAAGGCTTACCCCCCCCACCCCTTTTTAAATCTCCTAACATTATTTAGGCTAGTTTATGCAAGTATTCTAAAGCACCTTTCTAAAAATCAGCACTTGTCTACTGGCATCTATCGCAAGAGTGCTGACCTACCTGAATATTCACAAGACTCAAGCAGCTGCTCCTAGGTACATGCTCCCATAAAGGTTAAGGCACTATTCATCATTCTGCAGTGATAAAAGAGGGTCTACAAAAGCTAGAGCCAAGAACACTGATACATGTTAAATAATCTCTTATCAACTGTCTTATCTAACAGAATTGTATTGCTAGTCTGTGCTATTAGTTTTGAAAATAAATAAGAAATGGAATAAACAGTTTACTACAATGTAAGTGTTCATTTATACAGGTAACGCCTGTAACATCAGTATCTCAGACCATAATAGAAAAACATTATTCTTAGGAGAAACAATTAGACATAATGAGAATATTACAGGATATGAAGTAATACTGAAATTATATGAAAATACTACATAAATACAAATGCTCACATTTAAACAGGAAATTAAAACAAGTTTTACTTCAGGGTCTAATGCAGTTGTTTAAGCCAATGTTACTACCAAAAGGAGGAGACCCACCAATCTCTGTCCATCCACATAAGCCTTGGCCACCTCTAACTTCTGCTGGCAAAAATTCAGAATGTCATGATGTAGTTCATCAGGATAGAATCTGATTCAACGTGGAAGACACTAAGAAGTTCTGTTTTTCAAGAAACTGATAGCAAAAAAGCACAATGAATTCCCATGATTCTGGCCATTAAAAAAACCTTCAGATCAAGACAAAGGTAACTACAGAAACAGTTATGTACACTTTGAATAAAGGTCCAAAGAATTCATTTTTGAAATGTCAATTTGTTCCTCATTATTTTAAGAGAAATCTTACAAATCAAGTGCCACTGTTCCACTTACATGCAGGTTTTCCCAAGTTCAAATCCTATCAGTTCTAAATACCTAGCAATCATTCAACTTTTAACTCCATTTTATCGCAAAACAAATTTCAAAACCTTAATCTGAAGTGTCTATACAGAGATATTTTACTCTTTATTCAAAGCTTTCAAACAGTAGGTAAATGCAAAAAGAACTGAAACTTTCCACATTGACAGAACTACAGTTGTTTTCCATAGAAACATAGACTAGATTTCTACAAGACTTGGATTTGTTCCTAAAAACTGTAAACAAGCAAAGCAATCAATATTAAAATTGACTTTGTTACAAAAAAAACCATATAAGCAAATTTAAGCTGTTACACTACCTTAACAATACAACTAACACATTTAACATGAATCCCCTTTTCAGAATAAGAAACCTAAGCAAACAAAGTAGCAATAGAAAGTTTTTTTTACTGCATCCTTCGTGAACTGAGTGCTTACATGATTTTATGGTTTATCCCCTTCTTTTTTTTAAAAAAAAGTCTGTTTTCTATAAGAAAGTTGTTTATCTTTGATTGCGCTGTAATACGAAAATGTCTTCAGTACAAAAAGTTCATAGTATTGAAAATGCCTTTCCCTTCCCAAACAGCACCTAAGTATAAAGAAGTCAACAGTAGATGGCTGGAGTGGTGTTGTCCGACAAAAATCAATCCCTGGAATGCAGAAACTTCTAAAGTTTCTATTTAAAAAAAAGACTGGCATATAAAACTAGGGGTAGGGAATGTCATTTTCAAACAGTACACAAAGTTCAGAATCACCAGATTATGTCCTAACAACAAGTCACAGATACAGTTTCTTTTACAAAACTTCATTTTCAGTGTCAGGAAATTAAGGCCATTAGACTTTCAGCTTAAGAACTCACAGAAAGAAACTACAAAAATACATTGTGCTTTTGAGAAGGCTATTCTGTAGACAATGATCACCATTATTTGAAGAACCTGGATGACTGGAAAGAGTTACATGATCGCACAGCTTCTGTCAGATTTTCTTGGGGTCCCCTGTCACAAACAGAAAAGTCATGATTGGAAAAAATCCAACAGCAAGATATTCAGAAATCAAAAACAGTATAATTATATATATTATTAATATAATACATACATATTATCAATGTACAATTACTAGCCTGGTATGGTCTATGCAAATTGTAATACAATGTCTTGACCCTATGAAGTAAAGGAATGCTAGATATCCTGTTAAGTGAGGTAATGGAAGATGGACACCACTGTAGGAGACTGCGAAGTGAGTGAGAAGCAAATACTTGGTAGAAGAGTAAAGGAGACCACCACAGTAACGATACGAGGAAAAGTTGGAGGAAGGAGCCTTGCAAGGCAAGTATTCCTCCAGACTGATTTCCTTATCTTGTGAAGATTACACAGACCTGCTGACCTGCAACAAGCAGACTTAGTGGGGAAGGAAGAGATGTGGCAAACTGCACCTGTACTCAGTTCAGCAGAGTGACAAAGACAGCCACTGAAGCCCCTCTGGCCCATTTCCAGAATACACCAAATCTTGAACTGTGCTTGCGCAGAGGTAGAGCCATATCTCAGTCACAACATTAGAGGAGACCTGGCAACCATCTGAGACCCCAGACTCATTTCTGAAGAAGCACTTTACTTCTCCTTAAGGGCCACAAAGACAAAGAAGGCAAAAGACTGCCCTTTCAGGTGTGCAAATCTTCCATGGCAGGAACAATCACTGCTGGATCCAAGGGTGAGAACTGTCTCTTCGTATCTTTATTTTTATTTCTCTCTTTTTCTCCCTCTTTTCAAGTTATATTAGAACAGATGCAAGTCAATTCATCATAGCTTACCACTAAAACTGCATTTCTTACGTAGTACCAATAATCACATTCCCTAGGAAATTTGAAACTACTCTTGTTTGAATAAATTCATTAGCCAACGGTCCGTTGTCATTTCACCTTACTGTGCCCCAAGGAGACCTCACACCTTACAACTCCCATACTTACCCAGGGTAGCTTGAAGTCATGACAATCAGAAATAACAATGGCCATACTGTAGTTTATAGCTAAAAGCATCATTGAGATTACACAGCTGGTGAATACAGTAGTGAGCACATACAAATACGTCAGAAGTTTTTATTTAAAAAAATCCACTAATATTTCTTTTGCTGAAAAGCTAACGCTGCTTTAGCTGAAGAGCACACCCCAGAAACCAAGCTGCCACAGGATGCACTTCAATACTGAAAAACTGTAGTAAAAGTTCGCACCTGTATTCAGTGCCACTAAGATACAACTCAGTTACAGGCCGAAAACATGCCTGGCAAAAAACCATGATTTCTCAAGCAGTCAGCTCTCTTCATTGTTTCCTGCAGATTTACATACATAACTTTAGTTATGTTCTATGTTCACTCTCCTGATCAACATTAATACCCATAGTAACTGAAAAATAAGTTTTAGCTAAAGGAGCAAAATATCTATAAGATGCGTGACCAGAAGGCCAAGGGAGGTGATCCTGCTCCTCTGTTTTGTGCTGGTGAGGCCTCACCTGGAGTACTGCCTCCAGATGTGGAGTCCTCAGTACAGGAGAGGCATGGACCTGTTGAAGCACATCCAGAGGAGGGCCACAAAAATGATCCAGGGGATGGAACACCTCTCCTATGAGGAAAGGCTGAAAGTGCTGAGGGTGTTTCAGCCTGGAGGAGAGAAGGCTGAGGGGAGACCTGACAGTGGCATTTCATTACCTAAAGGGGAGCTACAGGAAAGAAGAGGACAGACTCTTCAGCAGGGTCTGTGGTGGCAGAAAAACGTAAATGGTTTCAAGCTCAAAGAGGGTAGATTTATGTTAGATATTAGGACAAAATCTTTTACAGTGAAGTGGTGAGGCAGTGGAAAAGGTTGCCTAGTAATGTGATTGATGCTCCATCCCTGCAGACTTTTAAGTGAGGTTGCATCAGGCCCTGTCAACCTGAACTGGCTGTGGTATCCCTGTTCATTGCAGCAGAGCTGGACTAGATGACAATCAAGAGGTCCCTTCCAACACTAAGGAATTTATGATTATATGGCCTTGGCCTTAGAGGAACTTATTTGCCCATTACAATTACTGTCTTTTTAGAAAGCTACTGGTTAAAGCAGTAACACCAAACTCAGAATGCAAACTACTCATTACGCTGTATCTGAGTATTCTCTCATCTTTCAAAGCACTTTATACTGTCACTGCAGATTCACACCTCTGCCTTTAGAGTTGCGTTTTTTCATCATGCCTGACACTTTCACTCCTAGAGGAAATGAAACATTTAAGTTCCCTAAGTAAGCAACTACAATTTTATGTACAGACTGAAGGCAAACACCATACATTTCCCTCAGTCCAATTGCATCAGAAAGTTTAAGAAAATCCCCTATCTTCCTACTAATTTTAATAATTCTTAAAACAGTTATGTTTTAATTCAATTATTGATTTAACAAAACAAAAACAACAGAACACCCATGCTCAAACAGTTATGACACTTATGCTTATACATGTCTTTTCAATCTAAGCAAATTTGTTAAGACAGTAGTCTGGACAAGCCTTAACGAAATACCTGTTGGTGGACAACATCTCCTTCAAGAATTTCTTCACCTTCCTCCTCCTCCTCTTCCCCTTCATTTACAGTTGTTTTAAAGACAGTGCTTCTCTGAGCAACTTCCTGCAAAGGAGTTACATTTTTAATAACAGACTCTTCCAAGAGCTCATGATGATCTACTCGTATGCTGAGAAAGCAGAATGCCACCTGTTCAGACGGCCAACTGTACAGTTTGTCTGTGCACTGCAGCACATGGAAAGTACATACACAGCATTCCTAACACTTCAGTTGTAAATCCCTTAACAATTAAAAAACTTCCTAAAAATGCACATCAAGCCTTTTTCCCCCATAACTATTACAAGAAATTTGTATTTTAGTATTTTACCTCAATTGCTACATGTCATAGTCACTGATCTACTTAAAATTAACACTTGTTTTCCTAACTCCTCATTAACACAGTTTTCATGGGAACAAAATAAAAACAGAGCACTGAAAAGTTTACTAATATCTTTTACCTTCAAAATTGAGGCACCCCCATCAGAGCAATGTCCGAACAAATGGAGTATATGAAATTTGTAAGTTAAGCTGCACCCCTTAACTGCAATTAAGTTCAAGAAAAGTGCACAGTATGCTTGGCTAAAAGTAGCAGGAGAAAATTTTACTACAGTCTCACACGCACTGAAGTGCAAAGAACTAACAATGGTTCTACCTATATCTTTACAAGGCTAGATGCTGGAGTGGCAATATAGTTAAATGCAAGTTTGACACATCTGAGTTACTTTACCTCCCCCTGAGAATTTTTCAGCACAACTTTCACATCTTCACCAGTGCCCCAGGAATTCTGGTTCTTCCAGATGAGGTCAGTGGGAGGGCTAGCAGTCACTCCAGCATTTGCAGCCCAAATCTGTTAAAAGTCACAAATGAATGTTACTTGTTAGTCTTACATAATTCACTTCCATTTTAGGCGACACCACTGAATCTCTTCCAGTTAAGAAAAAATAAAGTCTCACTCCAGCTACTATTTTTTTTTTTAAACATTAAAATATCCTTACTTTTTTAACATGAACAGACACTTTTGAATATGCAAATGCACCTACTTACAGTCAAAATTATTGTTGCATATGTAAAGTAATTTTCTAAGAAATGTGACTCTGTTCACTAAAAATTACCCTTCCCAACAGATGATACAATGAATGCTAAATATAGGTGATTTTTTTTTCACCATCTGTATGGGAAGGACAAAAAACATTACTGACTTACTGACATACACAAATTAACCTAAAGCCAGTTTGAACTGAACAGGTGAAGCTTGACAACTTACTGTAACAGTCTGTCCTGCCTTCAGTACATATCTTGAGGTATATCTGTAACTAGCAGAAGTATCTCCTATTTTTCTGATCATCTCCCAACCTCCCATAGGTTGATCCTAAAAAGAAAGATAAAGTTTGTCAGCAGTTATTGTGTTAAACATGTAGGGTATTTTACACATATGGACATGATGCATATAAAATTTTGTATTTCCCTTCAGCACATAAATAGCTACAGTTTTAGGCAAGCTGATCTTTCCTTATTCCAGGTTAAATTTCAATACATTCCACTTCTCCATTTTGACATCACCCTTTTTTAAATTAGTGTATTAGTTTGCTTCAGGCTTTTTTATACCTTAGTCCATATAAATGCACAAGTGTTAAGCCTTACAACATTTTGTCTAGCACTCTTGATCACTCCCACATACAATTTAGAACACTGCGCTACAGACTGTTGATGAAAACTTTATGCCTAAGTGCAATAACTATGAATCATATATGGCTACTTAGAGCTGATGGTTTAGCTATGGATAAACAAACGTGTAGCTAGGGGTCACCTATAATAGAAGGGAATCCCATATGGTGCAGAGGGAAGTTGCTGAAAAAAAAAATGGTTAGGGAAAAGTGGGAGGTCTTAACACACTAGAGCAAGTTAAAATCGTCTTTATAAACACTTAAACATAACACAGGATTGTTTTTTTTCCCTTTAAACAGAAGTTAAAATTCCTATCTTGGGCAGGACCAATTTAATGCAACAGTTGATGTCCTTCAAACAAAAGCATGAGTAATAGTCAAAGCATTTCTTTAAGTGAAATGCCTTTAAATATTGTCCCACTTCCCCACTGATGCAAACTGCAGTCTATCCACAGAAAAACAATCTGGAGAGGTTTTGGCTTGAGCACATATTGCTCCTTCCAAAAACTGCAGATGCAACCAAGGAAAGAAGGAAAATTGTAACTTAAAGAAGACATACACAAGTATTAAAGAGTGTCTCTAATTAGTCAGTTAGAACTTCACAGACATGTAGATCTTCATTCTGCATTGGTGCTATTTCTTTTGGGCCTTCTTAAGGCAGAGAGAAACTTCTGAAGATAAGAAATAGTGCAAATGGACTTTAGGCTATCAATGATAATTGTAACTGTAAAGCCAGATCATCTGGCAAGGCAGAACTAAAGAGTTTGGCACCTTGAAAACCATTAAAAACAATCAGGAAATTGTTACTAACCCAGAATACTGTTGGAAAGAACATTCTGTGACACACTAATTTCTAACGGCCCTCTTTCATACAGCCTTAGTTCCAGAGTCAACATTAAGCCTGAGATGTGATATGGTGCTGAGAAAGCCTTCTACCTACTCAGCCCGCTGTAAAGAGATGTGATATGAGCACTTTCAAACCTGTTCAGAGGTATTCTTCAAGCGGATGAATTTTCCATCAACATCTATCTCCTCAATAGAGATATTTCCAGTGGCAGAAGCTGAATGGGAGATGCTAACACTACTGCTGGCTTCAGATTCTTCCACATCAATTCTCTTCCTCTTTCCTCTGGTGGTACGTACACTACGGCTTGATGAAGCTCGTGAAACTGTCACTCGAGAAGATGGGCCTGGAGAAAGTCTGAGCCTAAATTGAAGAAAATCAGAATCACAAACTGTAGGGGTTGGAAGGACCTCTAGAAATCACTGAGTCTGGCTCTGTGCAAAGCAGGACCCCTTGCAGCAGGCTGTACAGGTAGGCATCCGGACAGGTCATGAAATCTCCAGTGAAGGAGAATTCGCAACCTCCCTGGGCAGCCTCTTCCAGTGCTCCATCAGGAAGCAAAAGGAAATAAAACAAATTATTCTACCCTCATTTAAAAACTTTCTTCATATCTTCTCCTGTTCCCACAGAATTACATAGCTAAAGGTAGAGGAACATTGTAAACAAAAAACACTACATCAGAATTGAAGCTGTAATTACTTTAAAGAATTAAAATGTTGTCAAACAGCTCATTAATGCTCAGGGACATGAAAAACAAAAGACTACTATATTAACATCATAAAATCATCTGCACTACTGGGTAGCTGTAGTAAGTCCAAAAAGCTCACAAGCAGCAACTGCACAACACTCTTACAAGGACTTAAGTTTTGGTAGGAAATTTATACAAAAGATGTCTGTGGCAAAACTACCATCAGTATTTCATCCCCACACAGAAAAATCAGCTGAGAGGAGTGCCAGCAAAAAAACCAAAGGAATACACAATTTCAAATCACAATTGTGACTTGCCAAGTCAAAGTTCTCAGTGCTGCTGAACTCAGGTGTAGAAAGTGTAGCTATCTGCTGAATTAGGTTATCACAATAGCTATGACAGTATTAAATTAACCCATGCTTAAAGCAACTTGGATAACAACTCAGGGCTAACTCTCAACAGGGGAGTAACATCTGTATCTTTGTAGAACAGTCACTGAAATACTCAATAAAGTTTCTGTCACAGAGGTAAACGTGTGTCAGACACAAGGATGCAAAGAACAGCGTTTTGTTAACACCAGTAAAGGGCTTAATGAAAGAACAGCCTTTTAACAGAGTTCGACAAGCAAGCACGCAGAGTCACCATGCTGCCACGTTCTTTCATACCTCTCCTCTTCGCTCTCCAGCAATTTGCGGTATGCACTGATTTCCATATCAAGTGCCAGTTTAACATCCAGAAGTTGTTCGTAGTCACTGAACTGCTGCTGCATTTGATTTCTCATCTCTGCCACTTCTCTCTCATTCTCAGCCAGTATTTTGCGACAGTTTTCCCGCTCCTTGGACAAGGCGTCCTCAAGCTCATGCACTCTATCTTGCCATGCTCTAGACTAGAAAGCATTGAAAAACAGTGGTCTAAAGGATAGCTCACTCTAATGTCAAAGCACTCCACTAATCAGGTAAGCTGAATTTCAGAATACCAGACTAAGCACCCTCTTTCTCTCTCTCCAAATTCAAACCCATCCACACTCATCATCCTGTTCTCCACATTTTCTTTAACACCTTAAGTCCCAATGAAATTTTCAACATACTTTAGAAGGCAAACATTCTCATATTTCAGAAAAATTAACTAAGTATTACCACAGCTGAAGAAGAATGGAACTAAAAAGTGTGTTTAAAGATAACACTGGGTAGGACACAAAGAAAATGAGCTTGGTGAACTTCAAAGCCTGTGACACATAACTGTTTTTCAGCTCTCAGATGTATGTTCCTTGCCTCAGTTTACTGCTGCCAATTCTAAATTCTTGAAGAAGTTTATCTAAAGGAATAGTGAATGCCTGTCTGCCTGCCAACATTTTCAAGGTCTGCTGAAACTGCAGTGGGAATTGGTCCACAGGAAAGCTAATTTGCAAGGCATTGGCACAGGCTGCCTAGTGATGTGGTTGATACCTCACCCCTGGACTTTCAAGGTGAGGCTGGATCAGGCCTTGGACAACCTGTTCTAGCTCTGATGTCCCTGTTCATGGCAGCTGAGTTGGACTAGATGGCCTTCAGAGGTCCCCTTCCAACTCTAAGGATTCTACAATTCTATGATCTTAATATTGTATACACAGAAGGGAATACTTATCAAAGAATACCTAAATCATGACACCTTTAAGATCTACTTTCCCTGAGAGCATTTTTTCAGCCTGATGTTCTCTAAAATACTTTAATTGAAGGACAAAAAAAACCAATAGTGCTCTAGAACCATGTTGTCTGGTTAAATCACCAAATTTGCTGTGAAGGCACACTACTCTAAAAGTCATCATAGAGCAGCAATAGCAAAACAAGCAGCCTATCACGCAGATGCAGAGGACCAGTTTAACTAGATGCTGCTCTTAAGACTCAGATAGTGCTTAGTGTTACGCAGAAGATTACAGAATTTGCTGAAATTCACAGCACATACCTCTGCAAATTTAGAAGTTTTTTAAACCTAGCAGCCAATTTAAGTTAGCAATATGACACTGACATTTAACTGAAGTTAGAAGGAAAAAACCAACACACTGACTGAGCCATCAGAACAATCACAATGTAAAGGCAGAAATAAGAGCTAAGTAGCCAGAAGCCCTAACCCAATTCTTGTGCAACCTCATGCACACTGATTACACAACCTGGCCTACTTTAGAAAATAATTTTACTGTATAACAGAAAAACTGGGAAGACTCATACCCAAAGTTATTTGGAAAGTGCATGAATGTTCTTCACCTGAAGTACGCTGAATTTTGAAATTCTACAAGTCTACTATACAGTAGCAATACAATTCAAAATTCATCACTAATCATAGGAAGAAAAACTACAAAATTACTAATTACTTATTGGAACAAAATACAAAGTCTTCATTGCATTCAACTGATAAGTAAGGTTCTGAAACGAGCTTCAGTAACAAGCATTAATATTTGTCTAGCTTTTCACTCCAGATTTTCCAGTACATGACTATTTTGATCAACTAAACTAGCACTGAATATGTGACTTGTCATAGGTTGTGTCACACTTCTATAAGCATGATCTGTATACTGTGACCTGACACTACGTCCATTTAGCTTCAGCTCTACAAACCTCAAGTGTAGCTACTTGATGCACTTCGCCCTCTAATTTCATCCCAATCCTGGCACAATCATTTAATTTCATCATTTTAAAAATAGCTCTAGACAATAAGTGGGTCAAATATGGAAGAAGATATCAACCAAACTGTTTATTTTAGCTCTGGCTTGGAATCATGCTTTGCCAAATACTGCACTAAAGCATTCAGATACTGAAGAAAAGAACTAAATTGTTTAGAACGTCAAGAATATACAGCTTGTGCTTAATACTGTCTTATCTAGAAAACAAAGAAGGGGTTCTGCACAGTTCTTACAAGACCTAATATAATAGGATCAGATCCTTACTAGTACCATAAGATTTTTTTCAGTTTTCCTGACATTTGCTGGTACTAAGTTGAGATGAACTCTTGACTCCATGAAGGGTGGAGAGGTGTTGCAGAGATCTAGACAAATTAGAGAACTGGGCAGTCATCAGATGCACAAAGTTTAACAAGAGCACATGCTGCAAATTCTGTGAATCCTGCACTAGGGAAGGGGCAACCCTGGTTATACATACAGACTGGGGAATGAGTGGCTAGACAGCAGCTCCACACAAAGGGATCAGGGTGTTCTGGCTGATGGCAAACTGAACAAGAGCCAGCAGTGTGCCCTGGAGCCTAAAGGGCTAGCCCTGCCCTCGGGTGCAGCAGGCCCAGTGCTGCCACCAGGAGAGGAGGAAAGGGGCTGTCCTCTCTGCTCTGTGCAGCCTCACCTCCAGCACTACATGCAGATTTGGGCACCACAATATAAGAAGAACATAAAGATATTAGGAGTGTCCAAAAGAGGGCAACAAACACTGTGAAGGGTCTGGAGGGCGAGGTATGTGAGGACTGGCTGAGATCAATTGATTTGTCTGATCAAGAGCAGAGGCAGCTGACATGAGGCCTCATGACAGCCTACATCGTTCAAATCTTCTGTAGCACAGAAGATCAACTTTGTCTAAAGAAGACATTACAAAAATAAGTTCAAACAGAACAACAGAACAGAAAACAAATTCAAAACACAGTGATGAACATACTTACAAAGTAAGGGAAAGAATTCACATTAAAAATCAACAACTAATAAGACTGAACAGACAAACTTGTTACCTCTTTCTGAATATCGGCGATATGGGAAGACAGTGTTTCAATTCGCATACGACTTTCATGAAGTTCTTCTCTTACCGTGTTGGCTGTACAACTGTGCATCTCAGATGACTGTCTAATATTTTCAAGCTGCAAAAGATAAGACATCAACTTCAAACTATCTTTAATTAAAAGAAAAACCCCATCTCCAAACAAGATATATACAGTATGAAGGTGCGAAAGTTCCTCTCTCTAGCTCTAATATATTATAAAACATCTGTCTCTTCAGTGGTTAAATGTGGTGGTTCAATTATCATGTTTCAATTATCATGTTGATTGCTCTATCTAAAAACCACAGCTATCCGAGCATTTATTGTAGGATTAACTCAACTCATTAAAAGTTTCCCTTGAAGACATTACTAAAACTGGAATGCTAAGTTCAGTTTTTACTAAAAAAAACCAGTACGTATCTTTATATACTTAAATACTGTTTTTAAGTATGTCTGAATAGACACTAACCTGAAATCATTGATTTTCTACAGAAGCAAGTAAACAACTGATGCTGATTATCAGACAACATGAGTACATTAGTTACTGATCGCTGCTTCTTTATTTTAATTTATTATATCAAGTTCGAGTAATTTTGTTTTTAGACTGTTTAAAACACCCAAAAGGAAGCCTCAATTAGAAAAGATTTTTCAGATTATAGGAAGATTTTTGCTAGATCTTATTTGAACTAACTTCCTTTCTCCTAGTTTTTTCAAGTCAGACCGAAGCCCTGAAGATAAGCAACTGCACAGTTTTCCAACTTTGTTTTTAAAAATACTGAACGCTGTCCTGAAAAACACTAACTGCAATAAGAAGCCACAAGAATCAGGTTGAGACATCAGGATCCTTCCTTATAAAAATTACAAAAATGCTGAATCATAGTAGAGGAAGGAAATGATGAAGTATAACTGATTTCAGTTTGAGTAGGGTTTCACCCTTCTATAAATGCAGAAATGACTGGGTGTGGTCAAGGTCTCCACACAAGAATTTTGATATAGGGTTTGATATGGAGTGCTGTCTTCTCAGCAAACCATGCTACGGATTAAGCTTTACACAAAATACAGAACACTATGCTTATTATTGAGATTGTTCTGTTACATTTATAATAACCACAACTTTCCTTGAATTCAAAGTAATCTCAGTACAAGTCTTCTTCCACATACTTCATTTACACAGTGCTTTCTATACCTATTTTATTGCGCTGTTTAAATTTCAACTCTGCCTCCAAAACGAGAACTACAAATGTAGATTTACCTTCAAAAACATGGTGACTTTAACCCAAATGCCAAAATAAAATCCTCTGAAATCTAAGAAACTGTTAGGATATCCCTCCACTAAACAAAGCAAAATAAAGTAAATCGGACAACTGCATGAAAGAACATTCTCACTTTGCTACTGTAAGTCTGTTCGAGCTCCTCTTTGTACAGTTTCACTTGTGCGTCATGCTGCTCTCTTATTTCCTTCAGTGCTTGGGCCAGTTTATACTCATATTCTATTTGACGCCCAGAGTCAACTTCAACTAAGCGAGTTTCATGTTTTCTTCTCGTCTCCTTGATTTCCTAAGAAAAATAAAAAGACAAGATCACCATTCAATAAATGAGGAAAAGCAAGTTTTAGAATCTGACTATCCAATAAGCAGACTGCAGTAGAAATTTCAGCTAGTCTTGTGATTCTTTATTGGAGAAGTTGAGAACTTCACACTAGGTGTGGAGTGTGGGTTAAAATTCAGCTCACTAGTGATGAGCCCGGGGGGAATGACATCAGGGTCGGGAGTGAAGCCAACAGCTGAGCTGAAATGCATCTACACCAAAGCACACAGCATGGGCAACAAACAGGAAGAGCTAGAAGCCATTGTGTGGCAAGCAAACTGTGACTTAGTTGCCATTACAGACATATGGTAGGATCGCTCACATAACTATAGAGTACTGCAACAGATGGTTATAAGCTCTTCAGAAGGAACAGGCAAGCAAGGAGGGGATGGTTGTGTGGTTGTGAGTATTTGAGAATGTTGTGATGCTGTAAAGCTTGGAGCTGGGAATGATAAGATCAAGACCCTATGGGTAAGGATCTAGGGAAAGGCCAAGAAGGCTCACATCTTAGGGGGTCTGTTACAGACATTCTAGCCAAGATGAAGAGACAGACAAGGCGTTCTACAAGCCAGAAGTCACGCAATCACCATGGGGCCAGCTGAGATCCACTTGAGGGTGCTGAGAGAACTGGCAAAGGTGATTGCCAAGCTGGGTCCACAAACTATCAGGGTTCCTGGTCAACTGCAGAGGTCTCAGAGGACTGGAGGCTTGTCAATATTAGAGAATGAGGTGGATGAGGAAAAGGCTGTTGATGTAGTCTGCCTAAACTTCAGCAAAGCCTTTGACACCATCTCCCACCGTATTCTCCTGGAGAGGTGGCAACCAATGGCTTGGACAGGTACACTTTTTCTGGGTTATAAACTGGCTGGAGGGTCAGGTCCAGAGGATGGTGACGACTGGAGTTAAAACCAGCTAGCATCCAGTGAAGAGCTGTCTTCCTCAGAGGTCAGTACTGGAGTTCTGTTCTGTTTAATACCTTTAATGATTATTTGGATGAGGAAATTGAGTGCACTCGCAGAAGGCTGCAGATGCTACTAAGGAGTGGGGAAGTGTTCATCTATGCGATGGTAGAAAGGCCCTACACAGGGATCTGGTCAGGCTGGATCACTGAGCTGAGACCAAAGGGATGAAATTCAACAAGACCAAGTACTGGGTCCTGAACTTTCATCACAACAACCCCAGGCAACTCTTCAGGCCTAGGGCAAAATAGCTGCAAGGCTGTGCAGAGGAAAAGGATCTGTGGGGTGTTGGTTAATACTCAGCTAAACATGAGCCAGCAGTAAGCCCAGATGGCCAAGAAGGCCAACAGCATCCTGGCTTGTGCCAGCAGTGTAGCCAGCAGGACTAGGGAGGTGATCATCCCCCTGTTCTTAACACCGGTGGGGCCACATCTCAAGTACTGTGTTCAGTGCCAAGCCCCTCACTACAAGATAAAGGCCATGGAGTGTGTGCAGAGAAGGACAATGAAGCTGGTGGTGAAGAGTCTAGAGCACAAGTTTTATGAGTATCAGCTGAGGAAACGAAGACTGTTTAGTGTGGAGAAGAGGAGGCTTAGGGGTGACCTTATCACTCTCTAAAATGACCCAAAAGGAGGTTGCAACGAGGTGACATGACACCCAAAGCTATTTCACCATTTATAAGAGCTCTGAGTTCATGTTATGTGCTTGTAATAAAAAGATGAAAACCTAGATACAAGAGAAGTAAATTCTGCTCAGAATGGGCGTTCAAAAAGTTATTCTACTACTTCAGAATGACCTTTCAGTTATCCTTTGTCCTTTAAAAACACAAATATTTTATACTAAGAAAATTTACCTCCTCATACATATTCTTACGGAATTCCAAATCCTCAATGAGGCTCTGACAACGATTTTCAAGATCCACCTTCTGTAAAGTTTCATCAGCAAGTTCTTTCTTGGCCGCAGCTAAAGAAATCTCAAGCTTTAGGAAAAAAACACAAAAGCTCAGCATGATTATGTAGCAAAACCTGCATAACACAAATAACTCATCTGCCTACTGAATACATTAAATAGATATTAAGGTTGAGGTTGACAATCAAGTCTAGTATTTAAAAGCAATGATTTTTTTCTCCTTTGTGATTGCTTGCACAAGTGAATAATAGATTCTGCACACTGATAAGATTCATGCTAGTGATGAATGTCCTAAAATGTCCTAACAAGCCTTCATTTTTTCTACTTGACAAAGAACAGCTTCCTGGTTTCAGATGTCTCCTAGACTCATGCAAAGCATTTCTTTGTTGGTCTTCGTTTTCTTTTTGCTTAAAATCACAGTTAAGATACTTCAAAGGGTCAACAAAACTGTAAGATTTTTTTGCTTGCTATCAGATGTCCCGAAGACAGAGTGCTACAAACAGAACTATAAAGAATGAAGATAATCATGAAAGTAGGAAAAGTAGGAAAAACTTTAAAGTTCCAGCATTCTGACCCAACTTGCTTTCAGGAAGTATCTTCAAGAAGAATCAAATATGTTCTCAGTACATTTCTCATTACCCGCTATGAAAGACAGCTACAACTTCTCTCCTCCAGCCATCTCTCATTGTTTCATCAACTCTTTTTTTTATTAAATAATTACCCCAGCTCTCTTAAGGAATCTTCCCAGTTGCAATTTAAAGCTAACAGTTTTTGGTTGGTTTGGACTGGCACAAACAACTGATTACAGCAGTCCTGTAAGTGAAGGCTACAGTTCCGCTTTCTACGTAAGTCCAAGGTCCATTGCACTTTTCAGATTCTTTCTGGAAGAACAGTACTCAACCAGTTACTCATTTATATCAGTGACCTCAGTCACCCCACAAAATACTTCTCCAGTTTAAGTCTGTTTTGAACTCTTGATATGTTCGTCTACAGAAATATGATCCTTTATACTCTGCCAAGCCTGGAATTTTAAAAGCACTCTACCATTCATGCTATTAATAAACTGAACCATACTGAACATACACCTATTCGATACTTTTGTTAAATTCTGACGGCAAACCTTAAGTTCTAGATTTGCATTCTTGTTTTGGCAACAAAGTTGCATTTTACCACAATGACACCAGTTCCTTAGTTAATTATTTCTTTTCCTCACCTGCACAATTTGATCTCTTAAATCCTCAAGTTCTTCTTCCTGACTTCTCTTATCACCCAGTGCTGTGGCCAGCGCAGCTTCCTTAGCATTTAGCGCTGCTTCAAACTCTCGAAGTTTGACTTGAGCTGCATTAAGATCAGAATCCTTTTTTGCATAGCTGGAATAAAACAGAAAGCAGTAAGAACAGAAACGCCCCAAAGTAGACAAGCAAAACAAGGTGCAATCTAAACACTTTATTCATTTAGTTTGTTTTTAAACAAAAGTAAATTACTTAGTTTTGTTCTCTTATACTACAAATTACTCAGTACTTCACTCAAACGGTAGAAACTTTATTAAAGAGGAAATTGCGTGACAAAAGATTTTGTAAGTGCTGTATGCATGGAAAGTGAAAACTGGTTAATTAAAGTTGATTTTCGTTTTCTCCTTCACAAGCCACTGTAACAATGTCCTATCCCCTGAGTTTTAATAGGTAGAAATAAGTTGCTACCATTAACGGGCCCTTTTCATAGAGTGGAAACAAATAATCTCAGCAGCCCTTTTTATCCATGCAGGAACTTGCACAGATCAACAGTCCAGCCTGCAAACAGTCCTCTTTCAACCAACAAACCAGCTTCTAAATCAAAATTGAAGTTCACTATGTACAAGATAACAGCCCATGAACAGAAGCTGTAATATAGCAAGTTACTTTGCTATACTTTGCTATACTACACCCTTCTAATCATACATCGTGACTAAATTCCACAAGTCAGAGGAAAGATACCCAAATATTTTTTACATAGTAGTCTGCCATCAACAAAACTGCAGTAGTGATGAGGTAGAAGTATCTTTATTTTTAAAGAGGCCAACATTGTTTTCAAATTATTGTTCAAACTAGTTGTCAGGTCTTTATAGGTGCCCAAATGGGGTTATTCTCTAAGGCATATGCAAACAAGGCAAGCAAGAAAAGAAAGATATTTCTAAAAGCTGAAATACTTCCTCTCTGGGATATCCATGCTTCTCAGGTGAAGGAAGCAGCACACAAAAATTCTAAATATTTACAGTCAAGCCATAAGCCATTCTACAGGAATAAATGGATTAGGACAACAGCTAGCAGATTTCAGTTTCCACATTTCCTTGGGGAAAAAAAATAGAATTCACAACACTAAGAAGAGGAATCTAGAAACCAGTAAAGACTCTTAAGAACTAGATCCTAATGGCCAGAGCATGAATACAGCCAGTACTTTTCAAATCAAAGCACTGCACTTACAAGCATCAACAGCAAAGCTTCTCAGCAAAATGAGACTAGCATCAGATCAACACACAGTTTTGAAGAGAAGCTTAAATTTGTGGCTTTTCCAAGATCACATGCAAGTACATGCAATTAGTAACAATTTCCAAGAGAAAAGGGTGTGCAGAAGGCTTACCACAACATGGATGAATCATTTTGGAGGCGATTTAGGCCGTATAGCCACCAGATGGCGGGCTTTATGTAACAGACTTAGCTTTAAGCCAAACTCACCTCCTCTGAATGACACAGCACACTGATGTGGTACACAGTACAACTGATCTCAAGAATTGAGAATCTTGTTTTCAAGAATTTATTAACATTTCTGCTGCTCAGTGCTATACATTTGCTCAATAGGGTTTTACATATGACTGCTTAGACCCAATAGCCAGGTTCATCTATCAGATCACAGAAAGTAATTTAGGTTTTGGCCACACGGGTCCCCTACTTCCAAGCTCCCTTTGTTATTCACCAGAAACCCACTGCTCTGTCCTTCCTCTCCTTCTCAGGCCTGTTAGAACTCCACTCTACAAGAACACCTGAATTACATCGAAGGTGGAAAAAAAAAAAAAAAAAAAAAGGGAGAAGTATCACATGATGGTATCAACACAACAGAAACCTCTCCATCTTCTAAGACTGATGAGGGCCCATCAAGCTCTGAGCATCACTGGATAACACTTCTCAAAAAACATGCAGAAATGGCCTCACTCACGCTCTCACAAAGCTTCAGACTGAAATCAAGCTTGTCAAGTTGGATCCTAAAACTACGAGTCTGGTCCTCAAAGTGGGGCATGTATACAAGAGTGCAATCCTATCTGAATTATCCTGAACTCTAAAAATGAGAATATTCCATCTGTGACCGAGGTCACAAAAGGGAAAAAGGCAGAATTGAAGTGTTATTAGTTATATATGCCATAAGTTGTCTCAATCAAAGAGCTCATCTGAACATACTCTCAGGAAGAAAACAAATGGGAGCTCAACAATTTTAATGCTGAAAGCCAGACTAAATCTCAGCACCTCATCAGCATCTTCCCAGCCCTAAAGGAATATGGAAAAGAGCAACAAGATCAGAAAAACCTCTCAGCATCACATGTATACCCCACACACCTAGTAATTTCTGCCAGGAAGAACTTCAGAGTCCCAACAACAGCTAGCTTCTTCCACCACAAAAAGCTGAAGCTGCATTTCAAGACAACAAAAAAGCCCAAGCCCAAAGTACCTTCTTGCTGCCACGTTCAGCAATTACCTAGAACTGTACTCCAAGTAGTTTCACTCTTGAAAGCAGTAGAAGCAAAGAATTGCTAGCCTGCCTCTTCAAAGAAGAAACTTGCTTTTCTCTTTGGACTTTGAAGTGCATCTATTCATTCAAGCATCTATTCAAGCATCAATTCATTCACTTACAATTTATTTTGAAATAATGCAGAACTAAGATCTGACCAAAACCTAGCCAGTTGCTCTTTATTTTCTCTGTACTTCAGAGAGAACTTGTGCTTCAGAAATATAACCCGCATCATTTAACACATAAAAACACTGCAGAGACTCTCAACTGGTATTACCTCACCTCTCCCTAACAGAAATTGCAGCCAATAATACCTTAGATAAGGCCTTGCACAAACTGCCCTTCAGAAAGTAATGCCTCCTATTTATTTCCTTAGAAACTACAACACATACAAAAATCACAATATCACTTTATGATAGAACAGACTGTCACTGCAACCACTCTTCTTCAACACAGTAACCACTATTAGCTAGTCATGAACAAGAGCCTGCTTTGCCACACAACAATCTGCATCAGTAGAGGTGACCCAGTGTTGCAGCTGCTGCTGCTGAAATGCATCACCCGCCTCACTGTGCTCACAGCCAGTTGGGTTTCCAAAAACATTCAGCAAGAGTCAGTGAATGTCAGTGGGTGCCATTTTTTCCTCACGGAAGAATTTAGTGCCTCACCTTCACTATATTCACACTTCCATGTTGTACATCATTTTAGACAGCTCAGTTTGCTCACCATTCCCACTGTACAACTTGTAAAGCAGAACGAACAAGCACACAATCCTAAGATACCATGGTTGTGTCTGGTTACCTGTGGCAGCTCATTTCAAACTAATAGAATGCTCCTACAATGCCACTGGTGCTACCACTGCTCTGGTGCAGATCAGAGAAACAGACATACCACTGAATCTCAGGGAAAGAGGAAGGCTCCCTTTTCATGTTCTTGCAACCACCCTTCCTCTTTCGTAAACTCTTTAGTTCATGAAACATCCTAGAATTTCCTGCAATTTCATTGAATTTCTTTCTAAGCTAGCTGAAAAGCTACCTAGGAAACACATAATTTTATACCAGTTTATACCAGGCCCAAGCTGAGCCTGGGCATGATTAAAGTTCCACTGAAGCTGACCAAAATGCCAGCAACCTAGGGGAGACCCTTTCCTTGTCTCCCACCACACACCCGTTCATTCCTGACAGTATTTGGGCAGCCACATTAGAGGTAAGTGCTGCCAGCAGTAATTTCAAGGAACATTAATTTTTCAGACAATTTGTGAAACGACTATGTGAGTGTAACTAATGATAAAGCAGCTCACAGTTAAATTTACTTAAGGTTACATGGTAGCACACACTGTGCTGTTCTCCAGTCAAGTTGGGGAGGTGTGCGTGCATGTGCAGAAACAAATCTAGTCACGCTTATTAAACAAGACATCAAGCATTGCTTTCCCATGTTTCTTCCCCTAAGGCACAGAATACAGTAAAGCTGCATTTTGAAAGAATACAACTTACAAAAACAGAAGGGGTATCTGTCAGAAAGCATTAATGACTCTGTATACATATCAACATGACAATAAACACCACCGGTTAAGCTCACTATTTATGTAAATTAATACATACAACCTGGTTCCAACTTCTTATTTCATCAACTTTAAACAGTTGAAAATGGTAACTGAAATCATGGCTATATGACTATCCCCATCACTCACCCCATTCTGAAGAGCTCAACTGATTATTGAATTGAAGAATTGTAGCCATCAGTTTTAGCAGACCTTTTGCACAAGAACTATATACATTAAACTGCTGCTCAAAATTAATTGTTTTTACAGGTTCAAAAAAAAGATTCAAGTATAAGCATTTATGGTTCAGTGAAGTCTGATGTGTTTCCATACCTAATTATTAGATAACTCAAGATACAGACACCTGTGATCAGTTGATTCGGTCCATGAGAGGGGTGATTCCACAGCTGCACTGACTCCTTTGCCAGATGTATTTGTACACATCATAATCTTGACGAAACAAATCTTAAAACAGCAGTAAAGAGCTCACAGAACTTCAAAATGATGAGAGAACAGCACCAAAATGCTACCACATATTGAATTTCCAGTAAAAACACCACATTACAAACAGCCTGTTTATTCAGTGTCTGTAGTAGTACTCACAAAATTTCTGCAGAACACACTTAATGACTTTGTTTAATAAAACCCCATGGAAGGTAAAAAAAAAACACAAAACAAAAGCAGGCATCAAAGCTTCAAAAGAGATGAATAAGCTGTTGTTGAGTTGTCTACATCAGGGTGTGAACATACAGCAGGCATCTGATAAACTAACATTCTCATAACTTCACTATATTTGGCAGCAGTAGATCTCCCACTCCATAACAGCTGGAATTTGTCACTACAGTTTGATTTCCAAATTTACTGCTTCAAGTTACCACTGCAAGTAGACACATACTTGTAGGATATGGTTACATCTACTCCACGTGGAAGACATGCTCTTAGATGATTCACTCTTACATTTCACTTGTGTAAATTACAGTGCAACAAGTTAATTACTCCTCTCCTTATTTCCTTGGGATGACATCTCTAAGGTACACATGTGAACAGAGATAGGGTTCAGATTAAAGCTCAGCTGTTCCGTAGCCCCCAGACTTCACTTCTCAACATCACCCACAATAACAGGAATCGTAGAATGGCTTGGATTTGGAAAGCACCCCAAGAATCAAGTTCCAGTGCCCCTGCCACAGGCAGGACTGCCAGCTGCAAGACAAAGAACAAGCAGGCTGCCCAGGGCCTCATGCAACCTGGCCTTGAACACCTGCAGGGATAGGGCATTCAAAGCTTCGCTGGGCTGTCTGTGCCAGCGCCACACCATCCCTTCAGTGAAAAACTTCCCCTTGACATCTGATCTAAATCATCCCTCCTTTTGTTTAAAACCATTCCACTCCTGTCCTGAAGCACACTTTGAAGAGTGTTATATTAGCTGCCCAAGATTGTACACTTAGCTCATTTCGACACAGCACATGTGCACCACAGGAAACCCTGGAACAGCTGTTAGAACTTGGCTGGCAGGAATGCCACAGGGTTCTTCTGAACAGTTGCTCAGTGTATCAGCTGCACACTTGCAGAGCAATTCAAGCTACAAGGCAGTAATAGTTAGGTGTAATCCTAGCTGTTAGCAATATTGCTTAGGCTATTACTGCTGAGTCTCACCTCAGAAATCCATTTCTGAATAAGGATGGAGAAAGTAGACCAACTGAAAGCAAAGCAGAATAACTAGAGAATATAGCTCTTTAATACTAATAAATGCACAGAGCTAGCTGTCTGACAAAATTACCTTCTTATAAGTGACTGTATACAGCTGATAATCAATGACCATTAAATCCTCTATCAGTGTCTTCGATAAATCATAATTTCTTTAAGTGAAAATTTACCTCTAACACATTGTCTGCTTTTACAGGTAAGAGTACTTCAGTACTGGAAAGCCACCAGTGAAACTTCCAGAAGTTTCCTAAATTAGCTATTTAATAGTGTTATTGTGCTTTCTATAGCTGTTTTAGTTTCCATGGAAAATGACATAAGGCATTACTTTCAGAGCAGCTCATATATTTTTATACTGTAAGTAAACCACTACAGAAATTGGAAAGTAACCTGTAGCTTTGGTTTTTTGTGCACTGATTGGGCAGAAAGTCAAAAAACAGAAAGATTCTTGGAATTTAAAAAGAAAAGAATGAAGCACACCAGAAGAGCATTCTACCAACTAAAGAAAGCAGAGCTGTGAGAACAACTGGGTTTTCCACAGAAAAATCAAATAGCAGAGAATGGCTAGCTGGACTGTGACTCCCTTTGCTCAGGGTAATACAACTGAACAGCCAACCATCTGTGCTCCTTCTGGATGAGGTGAATCCCCCTTCAGCATCCAGAAGTATTCTGCAAAGCCACAATGTTTTTGTTTTTTTTTTTTTTTTAAAAACTGTAGATTGTCTTCACCCCAAGCTAACATGTAACAGCCATCAGCTTCTGAGAAGTGCCCATCCCTCCCATGAAGTCACAAAAACAATGTCAATCCCTGCCCGGTCTTCTACTTTAGTGCCCATCTGTAGCTACAGTGCACTTCCCCTTTTATCTGTTTTTTTTGTTTTATTTATTTATTTATTTATTTATTTAATGGAAATGTACCAGTGGTCACCAAAGAGTAACCAGAAGGACCACCCAATGATCAGAACCACATTATGCAAAAGCAAAGAGCCCAGAAGGCACTGAGCTGCCTGCAGACATGCGGAAACAGCTGTGTATTGGTTTACATGAGTGTCTTTTTCATTATGGAACTCAGAACTGAGACCAGATTTCAGAGAAAATCAGAATTGACAGATTACACAAGATTCTTTTTCCCAAGCTTTTTACATCAGTGTAATCAAGATGAGCAAGATAAGCAACTGAATCAAGTCTGATTTTCAAGAACCAACATTCAGTGGAAGAATTCAGTTCTTTGTGCAGATTTTTGGGCTGTGCCATAAAACTTGCAATTCTGAGATTATTGTAAGATTGCTAAGGCTGGAAAAGACCTCTAAAATCACAGAACCCAACCATCAGCCCATCCCCACCATAACACTGCCCACGTCCCTCACTGCTATTGCTACATATTTCCTGAACACCTCCAGAGATGGTGATTCCACCACCTCCCTGGGCAGCCCGTACCTCACCACGATTTTTCCTACTACCTAGCGACAGAGCCTGCCTTCACCTGAACATCCATAAAAAAAACGTACAGAAGTTGTTCATTCGGGGGCTTTAAACAAGCCCTGCTTATCACACACTCGTGCCTTTCCGTTAACACCCAACGGAAAGCGGCTTTAGACAGAGCAACGCCCACACCGACGCTGAGCACCACCGCGCTATCCCCGAGGCCGCACGGCGGGGGGCGGAACGGCAACCCCCCCGCCCTGCCCCGGGGGCCCCGCACAGGGCTCTGCGCACGGCCGCGGGCTCCGTACGGGCTGGCGCTGCGGCCGCGGCGAGGCGGAGCCTCCGGCGCTCATTCATTCCGTGCCCGGCAGTCGCCGGCACACAACAGCGGGGGGGCGGGGGCTCAGCGCTTTGCCCGCGCACTCTTCCCTCCTCAGGAAAGGAGGATCCGCTCACCTGCTGAGAACCTGCTCGTGCTCGGCGCGCAACTTGCCCAGCTCGATCTGCAGCTTGGCCCGCTCCCTCGCCGTGTCGTCCAGCGTCTTACGTGCGTCGGCCAGCTCCGTCTCGAAAAGCTCCTTCAAGCCGCTGATCTCGCGGCCGCATACCTGCTCCCGCTCGGAGACGCGCCGCTGCAGCGCGCTGTTCTCCGTTTCCAGGCTGCGCACCTTATCTATGTAGACGGCCAGCCGGTCGTTCAGCTGCCGCAGTTCCTCCTTCTCCTGCAGCCTCGAGATGCGCGTGGGGCTCAGCGCTGCGCCGCCCGCAGCGCCCCGGGGCTGCGGCGACAGCGGTGCGGCTGCTGCCGCCATGGAGTATCGGGTGTTGGGATGAGGACGCAAGAGGGCTAAGCGGAAGAAGAGCGCCGAGCGGGAGGAGACGGGGAACGGGCGGCCGCGTGCGGTAGCCGAAAGGTTCTTAACGTACAGCAGCAACCGCGACCGACCCAGCGCCCTCGAGGGCCCCCTGCAATATGGCCGGCTCCACTTCTCTGCTTCCCCCCCATCCTGTAATACTGCATCACGTGGCGAGTTCTCAGCCAATAATATGCTGAGGACGGCCGCGCGCCTCGGGCTTTGTAGGCGGGGGCGCGATTCGAATCCCGCCGCCGCCGACATATAGATGAGCCCGCGCGCCAGTGAGGTCCCGCCCCACCCGCTGCGCTAAGGATCGGAACGCCCTGCATCGCGCCATCCTTTGTTGTGGTGCTGAGGGAAGGAATCCCCGTGCTACTCTGCTCCCCGCCTGTTTGCTATTCCCGATAGCGTGGAAGCTGTGAGCTGCGATTTAAAAACAGCACTCAAGCCGACGCCTAGTTTTATCTGCCTCCTCGCACTGTAATGCTCAAAGTGTGTAAGTCGGGTTCAGCTCAGTCTAGGTGTTAGCAGTAGTGTGTGGATGTTCCGTATCTGGAATTTGGCTGTTGAAGGTTGTTGTGAGGGGGATGTTGTGTCCATAATCACCAGTTGACCCTACACTCCTCAGGAAAAGGCCACATTCTTCACATTACGGTATAATAGATCAAACAGCCAGATTCCTCACTGTGGGTTTGACCTGGAAATCTGATTTGTGGCTTAAAAAGCAGCAGCACCTGTTTGTAAAGGGTTAAGCAGGCTGTATCTGTCACTTTACACTTTGTCCTCTGGGCACCACCTGCAAGACATTGGAGAATAAAAAGTGGAAAGAGAAACACAGCTAAAATGATTGATTGTTTCACAGCCCCGAGTGTCCTTCTGACATAAATCACAGAAGAAAGAGCCTGTCTGCAGGAAAACTCCATACACCTCTCTTACCGAGGTTCCTCACAGCTGTTGAAAGGAGTTCCTTAGAACAAGCTAATGCTGGATCTGGAAAGACAGCAGTTTCCCATCAAGGATGTGAGGTTGGCCTGACTCAAATGGTTGTTTCTAGACATTCATCCTCAGTTCAGTTGTCTTAGCAAAATAGTTCCTGTGGATTATAACTGTGAAGAGATACCTCCTCAAGGAAGCAAATACAATCCAGCCACAGGGGCTTTTGACTAGAGGCAAATTGTTGGCAGTGGAGCTCCCTGCCCATGCTATGCCTTTGTTAATACAGAGTTGCAGACTGTGTTCCTTCTTCCTCAGCCTGTTATTACAATCAGCTCTTTTCCAGCCTGCTGGAAGATAGAGTAGGCTACAAAGAGTAACAGCAGCTGGGAGAAAAAAAAGAAAATGGTATTCCGTCTCTATAGCACCTGCTGTAGCATAAAATTGTCAGCGAACCAGGATTATAGCCCACGGTAGGTTTCCACTGCAGCTGGCACTAGAGTGAAAGGGTCTGTGTTCACAAGCAGTACGAATCAAACAGAATTTGGGATACTTATCAGACTGAGCTCTCTGCAGGTGTTAATGCTGACTACATCTACTTTCAGGTCTTCAGTCATCCAGTTTTCATTTCATGTTAAAGACACGTTACTACTCGTCCACCCTTACCCCCTCCCTTTGTTTTACAGCTATTGCACTTGAAGTAAAGCATATTGTTTCTTCTGAAGGAGCTACAGATGTAGCTTTTTATTTTGTCTCTCAAATTTTAACACATCTAAAATTCTCTCCTTTTTTTTTTTTTTATTTGTTTGTTTTTTGTTTTTTTTCTCATCTGAAATCTCTTCCTGCTGTAGGTGTGATTGAATTCATTTTGTTCCGGTTATGCTGAAACACAAAATAAGAACAGAAGCGCATGTATTACCATGCTCTGGCTAATGTCAGACATTTTACTTGTGAAATTGCATATCAGTGTTGTTCCTCTTTGCTTTGGCAATTCGGGCCTGATAAGAGCGGTGTGCTTCCTTTGTGTCGAAGAGCCAATAAGTGCCATTATTAAGCCAGCCAGAGGCGTCAGTGCTCACAGACAGGCACAAACAGCCGTGTAGCACTGAGCGTTGACACTCCCATGCTCCAGACTGCTGCCCCGGGGAATCAGGAATGTTTTCTCAACCTCAAAACAAAGGGAAAGCAAAATGGAGGAATGTGTTGTTTACTCATATGGCTTACAACTTGACTCAAGACTATTTCAGCTTATTAAAACTCTGACTGGCTTTGCAACTTTTAAGACTGAACTGTGAGCTACCTCCTAGAATTTTAACACAGCTTCCAAATACCACCACAGCCACAGTCTGACAGATTTACGGTTGGCATAAATTGTATACATCAGTATACACTTGGATATATTTGATACTCAGAGCAAGCTATACTACATTTAGACTTCTCTCCTCCGTTAGTGGGAGGTATTTTACTGGTACAATATTGCATTTGCTCCTTTCTTTTTAAATCAGTATCAGCTTTCCAACATGCAGCGTTTAACAGCAAAGTTTTTATTTGTACACTGATTGAAATAAAGAACATTCTAGAATCTGGGCAAGTATGTGGGAGATTAGTGTAGAGTCCGTGATTCCTAGAAAATAAGACATTTTTACTGTTGCTGACATAATATTGCTAAAACATTTATTTTTATATGAATGTAATGATTAGTATTTATGCTTTATTTCCTTGTGAATTGGGCAAGAATTATGTTGAACATATTCTGCAGGTGTGTCAGTGCTACAGAAGTAAATCATACTTCAGGGATGTAAATATGACTCAGGAAACTGATAAATATTTGAATCTTTAGCCTGAATTTTTCACTGAAACATTGTCTATTTGTTTCCGCACAGAAGCAAAGAAGAGACCAACAGAGTAAATACCACAATTTGTGCTTTGAAGAAACAGAAAGGAGCAAAGATTTAGTATCAATGTTTTTTCAAAACAACAAGTTAAAAAAAAATAAATGTTACAGCACTCCTAGATGTAGCAGGTCTCTTGCAGGCAGCCTCATCGAGTGCCAAGTAAATGAACTTGACCAAGTATTTTCATAACCCCAAAGTAAATTTGTACATTTGCGAATATTCTGTCAGTATCTGATCCCAAGTGCAATTAACTTTACATTTCAGTGCTGAATAAACTTTCCTTCAGGAGATTATTCTTCCCCCATCCCCCCCTCAACCCCCCCCCCCCGTATCATTTATGCTTCACAAATATTGTAATATTTAATTATGACAAGTCCATAGAAATGTTAATTTCTTTGCTTATCAAGTATTGGCTAAGAAACAAAATCTTGTTTTTCCTGGAAATACTGGGGGATAGGGAGTGGAGACAGGCAGGGAATGAATATGTCTACAGCTGTTCCGAAAGACAGCAAAATCTGGAGACTCCTCACATCAGCAGATGGGATAATAGTAATACTCCTCCCTTTTTTGGCTTCAGTAGTGCAAAACTGATGCCAGGTAGATATCCGTAAGTTCTGCATGGTACATGTGTTTCTAATTACTGCTCTGTATTTTAATAACTCATGTATGATTACATTACTGTTAATATGCTCCCTTCCTTAGGCGAGGGGAGTTGCCTAAGAATTACTTCAAAATGTAAAAATTTTACACAGTACCTGACTGGGATTTGAACAGAGTTCTTATATTTCCTGCACACAAGTGAAGCACAAAAAATCTTCTAGGAATTTTTATTTTTAAATTTTATTGTTCAAGGTACTATGGAAAATATTTTTGTTTGTTTGTTTGTTTCTGCAGAATCTCTCACATTGAATGTTTTGTTAGAATACTTTATTTTGTGTGCTGTGGGATCTCCTCCTCCAGGAGAAGCTACCACAGCATAAAAAATATTTGGGCTGCAGCCTCTCTGTATCTGCATGCCTATGGCTCAATCTAAGATCAATGAGAGCAGGGAGGAGAAAGGAATGTAGCCTGAAGCAGCAGTAAAGGAAAGACAGAAGCAAAAAGAATGTTGCGAGAACTGTAGTGCTCCTCAGTATCCATTATACAAATCACCACTGTTCATTTTGTCTTATGTAATCAGGTTCTAGAATTTTCAAGTCAGGGAAAATCAGATTGGGATGCATGCTTAAAGAAATGGATGCATGGTGGCAGTAGATTTTGTCTGGGATAATGTCCAGGGAATATTCTACACCTCTCTACCCATTTGCTGAAGTACACAAATACACATAAAATAGATGTAGTGATATTGCTGTTAGTCCTAGCCGAAGTCACTTCCCACAGTGATTGCAAAACCCAAAGGAGAGAGAAAGAAACTGCAGATGGTGAAGGAGAAGCAGGAACTGATAATTACATAGCTCCACACAAAGAGAAGATCAGGCCCGTGTAAGGCAAGACTTCTGCGCAAAACTTTATAGGTTGCATTTCCACAGAACACATGAGCAGCTATAAAATAATTTGGAGTATATCTCCTTGCTGATAGTATTCTAGTTGGTACAGATGGCTAATGCTCATATAAAAATAACGGTCTTCAGCAAGAACTTTTTGCTGAAAAATTATGGTATTAATCATATTAACACTTGAGAGAAAGTTGCTGTGGCTGGTGACAAAACAACTCCAATTCACTTTGCAAAGACACTGATTAAGGAAACACATTAATTGTTGGCAATTTCTGCAATTCTGATCTTGGTTTTATAAAACTGCTATTTTTTTTTTTTTTTCCAAATGCTTGCTATATGTATTCCTCTGATAAATCACAACTCAAAGTTTTAGTTTAAAGATGCTTGTCCTTTTAGCAGTGGATGAAAAGAAATGCTGAATGTGTGAGTTAGTACAAAATTAAACATGTTAATTAAAGACAATTAAATATTTAACTATAAATTACTACCTGAGAGATGACAGTGGGCATAGTGAGTTTCCTGGTTTCTGTGCACTGATGTGACCTCTCATGTGATCTGTTCCACATCTCTGAGCAATTTTAGTGATGAATTTCAGAAAAGTGGATCTTAGTATCTTGTCGTCTCACATTTGCTGCCCGCTTCCCACTCTGAGCTTCTTCACTCAAAGATTAAACACCTGGGAAAGCCATGGGATAAATATACAACTATATAATTAACATCATGAATCACAGCGCTCACCCAACTGGCTCCTCCATATGGGCAGAATATTAACAAAACTGCTAGGTCACAGAAGAACCACAACAAAACAGCAGCAC